GGTTGCACTGATGACGCTTACCAATCGAGATTTGTCTATAAATCAGCGGTTTGTGAATGCCGTGATCATCCGAGCGGATAAGGTGACCAGACATACGCATCGAGGTCCGAGGATCATGTTCCCTATACTAGGCAGCTGACATCGCTCAAGCACTGCAGTGTCTGGTATAAATGACAGCCATTTTATCCTCAATATCCTTCAAAGACATCACTGATGGAATCTTTCAAGGGCTTTGAGATGTCGCCTGTACACAACCCAGGTCTCACAGGCATACAAATGGGCTGGGAGAATACAAACGCGGTATAGACCCGCCTTGGTAGAAGTCTTAATATTGAGTTGGCTACAAACCCTTTTCTCAAGCAAACCAAAAGATCTGGCAGCTTTTTCTGTCCTAAGACGTATATCCCTGTTCAAAGAAGTATCTTAGTGTGCTAGCATGGTAGACAAAATGATCAACAACACTCTCTCTTTCTGTCTCCCCTCTCTCTCTCTCTCTTACTCTCTCTCTCTCTCTATACGCCAATCAATCAAAAAAATTGAGTAATAAATAGCTTTAATTATCTTCCCAGACCAAAGCAAACTATTAAATAAGCGACCTGAGCAAATCCCCCAAATTTTGTTACTACGTTAATAAAAATTCGTAAACTGAAAAGAATAAATTAATATATTAAATTAAAAAATGAAAATAAAAACAAATAAATTAACCCAAATAAATAAAGAAGCCACTCCCGCCAGAATAGATTACCCAGAATGTACCACTGACCCATATATAGATAGTCGAGAAAAAATCCAACACTTGCAGCCTGATGATTGCGTCTAGCATGAAACAGCCTGTCGCCTCTGAATGTTGACTTTTATATTTATATACGCTGTATCTCAGATATTGAGCCCTTTATCCCATAAATATAGCACACCTTAAAACTATATTCTTTATTTTATTATATATATATATATATATATATATATATATATATATATATATATATATAACGTTTTATTAATATGTATACGTCTACCTAATAAGCTAATGTCTGCCTATATCATTCTGTTGATATATGGAGAAGATTGCGTTCAATCCTGAAACAGACTGTCGCCACTCGGTGTTGACCTCAGTGTCTCTTTTTATATATACATATGCCTCAGTCTTTAATATTGGGCATATTTAACCATAAATATAGCAGAGATTAAAACTCTCATTCTATATATAGAGAGAAACAGAAAGAAAGAGATCAACAACACACACACACTCTCTCTGTCTCTGTCTCTCTCTCCTCTCCCTCTCTCTCTCTCTCTCTTACTATATATATATATATATATATATATATATATATATATATATATATATATTTGCTCTCTGTATTGAGCCCTCTTTTAAATTAAATGTTACGTACAGTGGAATTATACTACATATGTTCTCTTTATATATATATATATATATATATATATATATATATATATATATATATATATATGAGAACATATACTAGGTATATTATTGATTGTGCGTCAGTTCATAGATATAAAGTGTACATCTACTTTCTCGGAATATATAGACACTAATATTTATCGCTCCGCAGTTGGAATGGAATTAACTGGGTCAGAGAATACGACTGTCTTGCAAATTGATAGAAGCCTAACGAATATAATATAGGTATATATCTGGGCAAAGTCACATACCCATTAGTAGTGTCTATCTTATTTGATGTTGGTTTAATTGCCTCTATTTCTATTCGAAGCAGAGTCTTTTGCTTTTTTTTCACTTGCTTCCAGCCCCCATATCTTCCGCTACGTCTGGAAGATAGCTGGTTGTATTAACTGTGGGGAATTTCCTACATAGAAATCCCACATTTAAGAGTACAAAAGAACCCTGAAAAATCAATAGGCGCTACTGTCACCGTCGATGGAAACCAGCTTAAAATTCTTACTCTGTTCCTCGCTTTCTCTTTCAAAAAATAGCGCCTAATTCAAGCGGTCACATGATTTCCAAGTGACTACAAGTATTTCAGGATATATGCGACGAGCGCCTTCTTTTCTTCTTCTTCCTCTCCTTCTTCTTCTTCTTCTTCTTCTTCTGCTGCTGCTGCTGCTGCTTCGTCTTCTTCTTCTTCTTCTTCTTCTTCTTCTTCTTCTTCTTCTTCTTCTTCTTCTTCTTCTTCTTTCCTACGCTCTTCATGTCATCTACTTCTTTTTTTTTTTTTTTTTACCCTTCTCTTCCTCTTGTTTCTTATCGTTTCGTTATCCCTAGTTTTCCTTTTATTCTATTACACTATTTTTTCTTCCTCCTCTTCTTTTCATATTTACCTCTTCTTCTTCTTCTTCTTCTTCTTCTTCTTCTTCTTCTTCTTCTTCTTCTTCACATTTTTATTATTATTGGATGATTTGATCAGTATATATTCCATAATGTATTTTGAAAGCTGAAATCATGTTGAAAAAAAAGTAAATGAATAGTTGATACCATACGATTGGGTAAAAAATAGAAAAAAAATATGAAATACAGCTGGGAGAGTCCATGCGTGCGTGGGTAAATTACCATAATAGATAGATAGATAGATAGATAGATAGATAGATAGATAGATAGATAGATAGATAGATATGAACAGGCTGATAGGTAGTGTTGTGGCCTTGTTAGGGCCAGAAATAAAGACACAGGTGAGGAATTGAGTTAAACAAATATATTAACAGAAACAGTAATACAAACATATACAAACGAGAGTGTTACAGCAAGAATATTCGGTCCCACTTTCAGAGCTGACTGCTAGAAACTTCCCTCTCCAAAAAGGCAGTACCTGCTCCTATTTATATCTGGGAGAGTTCATGCGTGCGTGGGGGAATTACCATAACAAATATTTAACATGATCCATGAACATGATCATAACGTACCTGGCCGTAATCGGAAATAATAAAAAAAAAATCGCGATATTCCTTGCACAATTCTTAATATTTAGATAGCTTTTGGTGAAGAGATGGACCCATTTCCTTCCCAAAATTATTTGGGTGCTAGTGAATTTAATAAAAAAACTTGTAGCAATTCCAACACAGCTTTCGGAGATTTTATTGTGAGCCGCTGTCCACTAAATCACATGAAAATCCTCTGTTTAATGAAATGATAATCCAAAATAGTGGCAATAAGAAATGTAAATTGCATCTGAAATACGCGTTTCATTATAATTTTGCACCTGTAACGTACTAAGTTGAGCCGAGTAAATAAAATCGACGAGCGCATAAAAGAATAAAGGCATAAAGGAATAAAGAAATAAAGGAATAAAGAAATAAAAGAATAAGGAATAAAGGAATACGTGATTGCAAAACTATGGAAATTCTTGCCAAATTTAGTTGTTGTGATTTCGTTGCAGAGCAATTTTCGATGTTTCTGAATTTAGCAATAGAGAATAGGTGAGTTTAATCACTGAAAGTATATATATATATATATATATATATATATATATATATATATATATATATACACACACATATATATATATGTCTACATATATATGTCTATATATATATATATATATATATATATATTTATACTATATATAAATATATAATTATTGATGTCGACCACTCAAATCTATAAATATAGAGAAATTTAATCAATATTATACGAAATGCAATAAATGGAAGTTAAGCAATTTCGGCCTTGTTCATAAACTAGATGGGAGCCCGCTTGGTCATATTGGTATCTTGTATATTTGGCTGGGGTAAAAGATAATGGCGGAAATTGGGAATCAGACAGCCGGATTCCAGTCCCAGTTGAGTTCTTTATTTTCACACTCTCCCCCCCACCTATACCTTCATTAGTAGGATAGATAGATAGATAGATAGATAGATAGATAGATAGATAGATAGATAGATAGATCTACTTTTGGCAGTTGGTAAAATATATATGTATACATTATGTTTAGATAGATAGATAGATAGATAGATAGATAGATAGATAAATAGATAGATAGATAGATAGATAGATAGATAGATAGATAGATAGGAAGTACGAAAGAAATAGACTGAGGTAGATAGAAACAAATAAACAGACTGAGACAGAAATATAGATAGATCGAAAGAAAGAAACAAACAAACTGACAGATATAGAAATAGACTAAAATAGAGAGATAGATAAAAAGAAAGAGCAAGTGAAAGAAAGTGAGATAGATAGAGAGAGAAATAAATTAAAAAAAAGAATGAGATAGATAGATAGATAGATAGATATAGAGAGAGAGAGAGAGAGAGAGAGAGAAAGGAAGAAATATAGATAGATAAATACATAAAAAGAAAGAAGGAAATAAATTGAGATAGATAGAAATACACTGAGATAGAAAAGTGAGAGAAAATAAATAAAGAAATAGGCTGAGACAGATAAATAGAGAAATGGACTGAGATAGATAGATAGATAGATAGATAGATAGATAGATAGATAGATAGATAGATAGATATGAACTGACGAAGCTAGAGAGATGGCTGCCCACTTTGATTAAATTATTCCTAAAGAGACCATTTAAAAGCAACGCCATCTGACGCTTAGTGATATTACCAAGTGAGTACTGCGACAATCCAGCGCGCACGGTGACTGTAAGTAGCGAGCATCTGGTGAGCAGTACGCTGGGGAAGTTTTGGTGGTAAGGTTCCATATAACGCTGAAGAATATACATCGGTGCTTTTCAGTCTCTTCTATAAGCGATTCTTGTCAAAATCCTAAGCATCGCTGCATTAGAACTGCAAATGATGTTTCTAAGCCTGATTTGAGTCAAAGACGAGGGTGTGCCGCGCTAACATATGCAAAGTCAGATGCCCGACCAGCCACCAGGATTACTTCTCGCCCGCGTTTTGCCGATTTCATTACACGTTTCTCATTGATTTCTACCTATAAAACCCCGGGCGGCGGTGCCTACACACACTACCTCATACATATATATATATATATATATATATACACACACACACATATATATATATATATATATATATATAATATAATGTGTGCGTCATAGGTAAATGTGTGT